GAAATGGAAGTAATCCCAACAATTATGAAACAAGAGATTCCTCGAAACCCAACTTTTCTTCGTATAGCAGTGCTAAACCATCTTAAGTGGTCTAAAGTGACTTAAGCTTTATTAAGGGCATACTTTTAGTTCTGATGCGTACTTACGACAGATGAAAATTGAATAATGGCATTCAAATAAGCTAGCAGCATAGTAATTCCATTTTATTTGGCGTTAAAAAAGTAATAAATGATTAAAAATGCTAGGTTGAATGATAAGCAATTCTACTTTATGGTACTCATAAGCGAGCATGAAAAAGTTGATATAATCTGTCTTGGTTTCACTGGATTCAATATCTTTGTGGCATACAACCCTTATATCCCGTTGCGACTGCATTCACAAAGGGTTGTAACAAGTTGTGGAAATTTTTCTTGCTCCGGCTGTTAGCACATGATGTTACACCGAAGAGACAAAGTTAAAAAAGGCATTGCTCGTCGGATCTATTCGAGCCAGCCGGGCGCGCAGCTCTTTCACCATTTGCACCAGCCGACGGTTCTCCACTTCCAGGTGTCCATGTTGGCCATGTCCGGCAAGCAGGGAGGAGACTGCGGTCAGGCGGGACCCAGTTCCGGTCTCTTCGTCGGCCTGAGCAAAGAGACTGGCGCCAGTCGCCTCTGGCAACCCGTCATCTGTCCGTGGTGCACTGGAAAAAAGAGAACCGGACACTTCAGCCAGCTCTCGAGCCAGTGTGACAGCGTGTGTCGAGATCTGTGCACTATCATCAGTTGGATTTTCTCTCTCAGTGACTGTCAACAATGCATCGTCCGGCTGCCAGGCTTCTTTTTGTCCAAAACGACTTCCGATGCTCATTTTGCTGCATCCACTTCCATCCGAATCGTAGATGCCATCCGGCCCAACTTCACAATCTCTCAACTCTACAGACTTGCTCCATCGACAGGCTGCGAGTTGACGATTCGACCGATCCAGAGCCAGTTGGGTTTTGGACAATTGCCGCTGGAGGCGAACCGAATAGTTGCGCATGGCAGTCAAGCCTGCCTGCATGGCAGAGACCTGGCGGAGGCTGGCCCGCATGGCAGAACAGGTCACGCTCATCACGTTGTAGTGATACTGGAAAAGAATGATGCAAAAAAATAGAACTGACTGACACGCGTACAGATGTTACAAGACACACACACAAGTTAAGTACCCGGAATGATATGAAGGATAAATAACCAAATCATTCTCTCTAAGAGATATATTCGTTTAAGGTGATAAGGTTATTGGTAGTTGAATTTTACCACATATATGATCTATTGGTGGTCTCGAAAACCTACTTATAAAACGAAAATAAGTAACGATTTCTATAGCAAATAAAACTTTGTTTCATCGACAATACCACAACAGAATGTGACATAGTAAAATGCATTGCCTTGCTTGAAGTTCACATCTGTCCTGTGATTCTAGGGCATTCGTGGCAGTGTGGCTTACTGGTTAGAGTGCCGAAATTAAACAACACACTGTCATGGTTTGAGTCTCGTCAGGGATGCCGATTAGACCTAGGCGAGGACG